GCTATGTTTTGCCAAAGTAAGAATCAGAAAACCTTTTTTCATTGTTTCACCCACCACCAGCAATACTAGGCGATTTTCCTGATCCGAAAGAACAGCTAATATTTTTAAAACCAAGAAGAGACCTTTAGGTAAGATCGACATTTCGAAGTCCTGTCATCTGACCTTTGAATCTGTAACGCATCAAGCCTTCCGAAAACGAGAAATCGATGTAAACAAGGGGTTTGCAGAAGTCCCAAAATTAAATTCAGGGAAAAGCTTCGCTCACTATTAAATTGCAGTTTCTTCTTCTAAAGTGCAAAAAAGACCAGCGAACTGAGGATCCACTTTGTTTTTCCATGTAGCATGACCTTAAAAATAGAATTTTCGCGGGAAAATTTCGCCTAAATAATGGTAAGGATTTTGCAAGTTTGAAATGTTTATATCAGTTAATAACTATGTCACAGCTTAAATATTCTATTCTGGAGTCTTTCGCAGATCTTTCAGTAAGCCTTGGATATCAATCGCAGAGAGTCGGTATAAGGTGATATTCTTCCCTAAAAAATTTGGTGGGAAATATTTCTGACTAAAGATTTTTTTGGACTTTGCGAGACCAATTACTCTGATTTGCCTGTAGAAACCAATTTTAACTCAACTGGATTTTGATAACAGTGCAAAAGACTATCACAAAAATGCATTTTTGTGGAAATAAACTGCCGCACTTTTGAAAAACGACACGCTGAAAATGGCTAAAATTTTGGTTACGCTCATTGACGATTCGGTGGCGATATTTGGCACCTTGTGAAAGCCATAGAATTAAAGCGAAAGACCTCTAATGTTTCTCAATCAATTCATAAGGGGACAAATATTATCTCACGAAAATAAGAATTTCTGGAATTTGTACTAAGTATCTTTTAGGTTCACCTAAAGTTGCCCGAAATTTCGGCCATTTCAGACTGCTTAGGTGGCCAAAATCATGATGTGGTGATATATCGAAGAAAAACGAACGCCTACCTTGGCAAATATCATGGTTGTTAATCTTTTCGGATAGCTGTCATGCTGTGAAAATATGAAGGTAAACAGCCAACCTCGATCTTTTGGTGCTGCCCGGTTTTCTCTGACAATGACACTTAATGCCCATTTATCCTTTTGATTTCTCTAGTGTTTTCTTCAGTGACAGAATCAAAACAAAAACAAACACTTGCAAAACATTCATGTCGACAGAGAGCCTTTAAGAATCAACAAGAAGAATGAAATTTGATGAACCACTGTTGATGTTATCACACCAGTTATCCATGGCATCAAGAAGGGCAGTTGGGGTAGAGTGGAGTGGTCTAAAACAAGACTGGAATTTGGTTAGAAGATCATTATCACTAAGAGACTGTGCAGTAATTATCAGAATGAGGGGCTCCAAAATGAGCCCTCCATAGACAAATATAATCTAGTGCCAGATGCTTGTATGCCTTGTTGAAAATAGCTTTCTCAAAAATTTTTCAAGCAATTGTTCTACAAGCCCAGCCAATCAGATGCAAAGTTGGTAACCCGCTTTACCAGGTTAATAAAAATGATGATGATGATGATGATGATGACGATGAAGTCAAAACCAGTCACAACTTGGTCTTGTGTATTTTCCCATGCTTGGCACTGACTATACATATTTGGTGCAGGCTGTGCTCACTGTGCTAATATTGCTGTGGTTTGGGGTTTTATGACCCTCAACCGAAAACCACTCTAACAACCATACATATGTATCTACAAAATATTACTTTTACACATGATTAAAACCATACTTTTTGATTTTCCATTAAGTTTAGCCTCCTTCCTTTGTTTTCGACGATGTTCCATAACCTGCAAGGAGAAAAGTGGTAATATAAACCTTAAGAGGAGTTTTCAGCTTTCAGTCACCTTCCCAGAGTCTCTACTATTGAACTTTGTTTTTGTTCAGCAAATTTCGTACAGTAACAGATGTCAAGTAGCAGTATTTCTAAACGATCCAGATTATCGCTACCTGTGTACAGTTAAGCTCAAGCTTAACCAGGACATACATGTATATTAGTTTACATACTATACCACAACATTTTTTCTATGCTTGTAGGGTCTTACTCCAACAATGCACAAACCTTCTGCTGTATTTTGTATCCCTTGTCAGCTGTCATCCACTTGCTATGCTTTTCTGTGAGAAAAGCTTTACGTTAGCACCATAAAAAATTCACTAAAAGAAAGTGAGAAGACCAGAAGTTCCTTGGTCGAACCATACTAAATGTTTAACTCTTTTACTACATGTTAAGGTGTTTAGACAATATGGCGGACTAGTTCCCAGCCTTCGAGTGATAACAACAAGCCCATGATGTAATAACAATTATTAGTATAAATCTATTTGCGTCCTATCATAAATATCATTCTCTGATTGGCTATGCTACTCACTATCTATTCTGTGTTAGATATTAAGTAGCGTAGCAGTGTGCGCTTGCTACCAAAATAACGGCTGCTTCTTCGTGTTATCAAAGTGTCTGTGGAGAAGATTTCGACAAATGTTTGAACAGTAGTAGATTTATACTAATACAATTAGATTGTTCGTTCTCGATTTCTATGCGTGATAAATTTACTAGCATTCCATCGCAGACTTATGCTGATAGAAATCTCGGGCTCATAACCTAATTGTTAAATAGATTTAGCCAAGTCTAAAAGTGGAGCTCCTGGGCTGGGTTGTTGAAAGCCCAATTAAGCTAACCCAGGATGAGCAAGAATTCTGATTTGAGTTTTGTAACTTTGCGGTGAGGTTTTCTGTATATTGGCCATCTCTTTCCAGTTTGAATAATCTCAAACTACACGAAACAAAAGCAGTGAGAAACATTTGCATACAAGAAAAATTAATACTTCGTTTAACGTTTAATCCTGGATAAGGATAAATTGGCTTCCAAACAACCCAGCCCTGATTACAACAAATTAACTAGACATGAGCCCACGATCCAATCCCAAACCACCACTTTATCAGTAGTTAACTTCTAGAAATAAGTGACCTTGATGAGTTTTTAACCTGAACCTGTGATATAGTCACATGGTACCATTGAGGAGACACCTTGTTTTGACAGCTATCAATTAATCATGGCATGGATGTCTTATATCAAAGATGTACCTATGGTAATGGTAATGGTACTGCTCCCTTAATTTTTAAGGTACGGGGCTTGGGATATGTAGGAACATACACAAGTACGAACATTCACATGACATCCAAAATATTTTAGATCGATGTGTCACCAAATTTTCTACAGTACCAGGCTCTGCTTGCAGGAGTTCAGCTATCAGATGCCTTTTTGAGATCAATAAAAAGGATGACATTTGTTGAACCACTGTTGATGTTAAGATACCAGTTATCCATGGCATCAAGAAGGGCAGTTGGGGTAGAGTGGAGACTAGAATTTGGTCAGAAGATCATTATCACTAAGAGATCCATAGACAAAATATCATCTGGTTGAAAAAAGCTCTCTCGCATATTTTTCAAGCAGTTTTTCTACCAGCCCAGCCAATCAGATGCAAAGTTGGTGTGACCGGCTTTACCAGCTTATAAAGATGACGATGATGATGATTGTTCGTGAGTGGTAAACGGAAACGGTACTCGACCAAAACACTTCAAAATTGGTAAAACGGTTAACTCTAAATGGCACAAAACTCTCTAAAAGGCACAACAACTGCTCACTGGAAACTGTCTAAAACTCTGCCAATAAACATCCACACAACTTAAATTCGTAAGCGCAACTAACATACACGTAACTTAAATTCAAAATGTTTCCGTGTGTGTGTGCGCTATTCACGCGTCACGCCACTGCGGAACTGTCTTCTTAACAATGATGATGATAATGATGATGAAGTCAAAACCAGTCACAACTTGGTCTTGTGCATTTTTCCATGCTTGGCACTGACTATACAGTACCAATCAGAAGAAACCTAACAGGGAACGCTTGACCGAATGTGCTCTGTTACCGTTCCATACACATTCCCATTTCCGTTCTGTATCTGTTCTGTATCTGTTCTGTATCCGTTCCATATCTGTGCTGTTCCCGTTCTGTATCTGTTCTATGCTGTTCTGTTCCTGTTTGGGCGTTCCATTGGTAAGCATTCTTGGAACTCGTTCAGAGGAACGAGGTTTCCGAGAACTCGTTTACAAGAGTAGCGACACTCATTTGCATTTCATAAAATGGGTTAAAAATGTCGCCTTTATGCGAGAATACGGACAGTAAACTTAAATTTTCATGGTGAAAATATGAGTCCAGTTACTTGAAAAATGTGAGAAGATGGTATTGAAACTTCAAGGCCAGTTTATAGTAAGTCTTTTTCTGAAAGCGTGTGTGATTGCCTGAGAAAAGGAAGAAGTAAACCAGCTCGCCCAGCACTTTTAACGCCATCAATGAAAAAATGTAAGCAAAGGATGAACTTTCGGCTCTTGTATTTACACGAATACTTTAAGTGAGATTTAACATTGAAGTATTGGCGAAAACTGTTTGGCAAATGCAGCAGAAACTTGGTTGGAGGACACGAGCGGTGCAAAGTACTGACAAAAAGCCGAAGTGAGCATTTTGTGATACTTTTACTGATGTTATTTTCACAGGCGAATTTTCAATTAAGACTGAACGTTATCCTCACCGATCCTTCCGCAAAGTTGGTGAACAACACCGTAATAAAAGTCAACCAAGACATTGACGTTTTGTTTTGTTTCTCTTCATGAGGAAACCTTTCAATCCAAGTCTAACTTGACTCCTCCATCCATTTCCTTATTTGGACATAAGTTGAGCTTGTTGACAATAACAAAATGGCCGCAATGAACACGAAATGGACAAGAAGATGCA